TAAATGGATCCTCTTTTCATTTAGAACCCCCATTTGCGCTGGGCAGTTTTGATTTTTCTTGAGGCATATTTGAAATATAAAATTTTAGAGATATGTCAATTTCATTTGAAGAAAAAATATAATACGACAATTTGACTGCATCAATTCATAAAATACATTATGACAGTTGACCTTTTTTGTCTTATCACGAAAGTAAGTAGACTGATTTGCTTTTGACATTGAGGATTTATTACAATCTATATTATTTCATCCTAAAATCTTAAAGGAAAACTATAATATGATACGTAACGCTTGTTTCTCAGCAAATAATGATCAACAATACACCTTTATTTCAAATTGACATAATTTCTTAACCAATGAACTTAACTTGAAAAATCTTTGGGAATACAAACTTGATATGTTGATCTATCCGAAAATGTTATTAGCAGATGGATAATCAAAAGTCGATTTTTGAAGAAAAAATATCTTGAATTGCACCAATTTATTGAGTTTGGGTGGTAAGCATTCCTTGGAACACTATAGTTATTGTAATAGCTGCTAGCACATGACACATGGCACTAAATGTTCACCTAATACTTAACACATAGACCTAAAACTATGATTTAAAAAAACGTGTTTCTTCTTCTCCCCTACTTATACGTACATGTACATGTACACTGTATATCCTTGACCTCCACAAGACCTTGACGACATGCATCACCCTGATCAATATAAAAACATACATATGTATGTAATGCATATTGAAAAGATTTTTGATAGATTCAGTATCATCACATTGACTTTGACCTTTGAATTTTGACCTTGGGTCAATGTCATGACACCTTTTGGCTATTATTAATAATGTACTGAAGTGTGAAGTCATTCAAATATGGTTCGAACAAGATTTAAATATTTTTTGCGACTTGACCTTGTGGAACTCGGAGACACCTGAAGTTCAACAACATACTTTAAACTTACTCAATCTGGCGGCAATGATATTTAGCGTTTAGCTTTATCTCTGCGGTTTCTTGTACGCTTATTAAGGAAAAATGTAATTGAAACAAGATGTGTTTGTGAAACACCGATGCCCCCGTATGGCAACTTATAGCAAAGGTTAAACTTTCTCAAATGCAAATCAAATGTGTTGATACCCAAAGTAAGGTCTTGTCTCGAGGAATAAACCTGTGAAAAATGAAAAGCCTAGCAACAACCATTGAAAAGATATGGGAAAGGTTAAAGTTTTTTCAAAAGTATGTCAAACATCAAGATCAAGGTCAAATGGTCAAAATTAATGGTGCCAAAGAAAAGGCCTTCTCCCAAGAAATACACAGGTTAAATACGAAAGCCGAAGCACCAATCGTTCAAAGGTTATGGCCAAGGTTAAAGTTTTCCAAAAGTAGGTCAAACTCCAAGGTCAAGGTCAAAGGGTCAAAGTTGTTGGTATCCAAGGAAGGTCTCGTCACAAGGATTACACATGTGAAGTATGAAAGCCCTAGCATCAACCGTTCAAAAGTTATGGCCAAGGTTAAAGTTGGGAAAAAGTTTGCAAAACTGGGTCAAACTCCAAGGTCAAGGTCAAATATGGTGGTACCCAAAGAAAGGTCTTGTCACAAGGAATATACACATGTGAAATATGAAAGCCATAGCTTTAACCAATCAAAAGTTATGGGCAATGTTAAAGTTTTTGCGGAAACAGACAGACGGACGGACAGGGCAAAAACTATATACCCCCGAATCTTCCATACGGGGGCATAACAAATACAAATGGAAACTTGGCCTTTAGTGCGCTAATTTCTGATCACTCTAATCAGATGTTGGGGAAAATGCTTATATACGCAGTGTACGTGCATCTATTCCAGTCAAGGTTTTTTGTCTAAGACCTGGACGCAGGTCTATGACAGACAGAAACTCATCCAGCCAGCCATTCCAAAACCATTATATATCCTCCCTTTAGGGTAAAGTAGATCGTCCGTCATTTTATGTAGTATTTGCTAGCAGAAAGATATCCATGCCTGATGTAGAAATTGAGTTCATTGTAAGCTGATATTCTTTGTCAATTTTTGTCCATTTTAGTATTCCTTGTGTGCAATTGTTTTAAAAATATTTTAATTTTTTTTTTTATTTTGAATTAATCTTAAACGAAAAATCAGTAGTAATGACTCTTAGAGTAAATTTACAACGACCAATAGTTTGAAAAAAAATAATTTTCAGAAACAAATGCTATTTACTTTTCTGATTTTTATAAGGTAAATGATGCAACTTCTTTAAGGATTTCTCCATTTAGTCTGCAAAGACGATCAAAATACTGCCTAGGTGAAATTTCGGACACTTCTTCTGCACTAAGGGATGGGCCGAGCGATAGTTGAAAGAATTTCTGCAACCCGCCCAGCACTTTTCTTATGTCCCACGTGGGTACTTTTACAAATTACCCACATTAAAAGTGACGATTAATTCCACTGAATCTAGGCTTATCGAATTAACTATCTACAGTTAAAGAAAGTTTGGTCTTTTAATCCTCTTTAAGGCAATTCATCCTTATAAAAGATGTGAATTTTTGAGTTCCTTTCACTTGCTAAGATGGAACAATTTCACACCTATAATTTCATTTCAGTTGATTCCAGTTTCCAGGGATTCATTAATTTGTGAACCTTTTAGCTACAATTAATGGCTAAACTTAAAGCCAGCTGATACTGCAGACAGGCAATACAGTTTTTTGTTTGTCTACGAAGTGTGATGTACTGATATTTTTCAAATGAATTAAATAAATGGGACATTTTATTTACAATTTTCATTACATGCATATTTACACTTCTTTCAGCGCAACATATAGGTTCAATACATATGAATATTACCAATCAATGTCACTCAAATCCCTGTTGTCATTAATTCGTCATTTTTTTAACAACATTACAAAATCCAAAGAAAATATCTCATGTTCAGTTGCGAACGTTTTATCTAATTCCAGTTTACCCCGACCCTCTCAATTTTTTTGTAAAATTACTTAAATGTAGATGAATGTACGAAAGAAATTAACAATTCATTGGGTTCGGTCTTCACTAAATTGACCTTCTTTGAAAAATAGTCTGGGCTCGGCCTACTCTAAATCAATTACGTGGACAATACATTGTCTGCAATCCAAATACTCTATATCTCTCCGCAGATTTCGCGCCATCGTCTCTCATCGAAATGTTTCAGCTTATCCAACATCTATACTCCACAAATGTTTAGTAAGACGGATTTACGTTTTCCCTGAGAGAGTTCAGAAATCAGATGTTATGGCAAATAAGTCCTGATACACTTTCGGACCTTTACGCAAATCTAATGGATGTCTTGAATATAGCAAATCGCTTTATATAAAATTAAATGGTGGTCTCCAAGGACCTTTTTCTCGACAATGTATACAACTAATTCAAATTGATCTTGACAAATGACTATAGATAGTGTTCGCCCGGCCGAGCCAATATTACCCTGCTTTGGGGAGAGACTGATTAATTTCTCGGGGTAACTTAATTTGCAGACATCGCCGATTCGGGATAGCGGAGAGACAGCACCCTGGGGGAGCGTTTAACACGGACCGAAGACAGCCCGATCAATTCCAGAGTAAGGAAAACAGTCGACTAGGGCGGGGACTCTGTCGCTATCACATATCACATAAAAATACTCTTTGTTAATTAATGTTTTCTGGTGCGATCCTTCATTTCAAATTAGGTTATCCAAAGTGAGTAGGGATAATTACTATTGAGTGGATTGTCTTTTATTGCAGTCGAGGAAATACACACGCAGTTTTATTTATTTTTTGTTAAAAAGTCGTTTCATTATGAATTCTTATGCGAATTCGAAAAAATTATTTAAGTTTGTCAGTATGAAATAAAAACAATGTATTTATTCTTCACATGTGGAATTTTGCGCTTTTAAGATAATTAAAGTAATCTATCATTATTTTATGTTTCGAGATACTTTCATAAAAGCATAATGAACGCGTACTTCGAAAGCCTTTTTCAGATTTTCTTTTTCAGCTACCTTTGCAGCAAAAATGAAAAGTAACATTTTTTTTACAATGAGTATATACAGCATTGACACAATGATAAATAAAACATGCACACCCCTAATTTGTTAAAAAACAACTATTACTGGAAGTATTTGTTATATGTTGTTTAATTATTATTATTTTATTTTACGGCTTTTTGTTCGTTACAGACAACGGAAATTTATACCATAACGAAAAATGCAAACAGATGAGACTTAGCGAATTCCAAACACAGCAAATGCAAAAATGTCAAGAATACAAGTTCTGTACAAATGTTGACCAGTAGCTTGATACCACTTTTAGATGTAGATTGTACATGAAACTTTTCCTCCACATACATAACGTTGGTGTAGAGTGTACGTGGAAATTTGCAATGACACTGTACAATTTTAGTTGAAGGTGTAACTTATCAGTGAGTTTTCACTGAAAATGTTGTACACGTTACACACATAAGTATAATTAAACTGACGGTCGCTATCAGCCATCGTAGGTTTGTAACCGCTAGCACATTTTCACAATTTTGATTACAATAGTTCTTTGTTTGAAAAAATTTACACAATATGATATACATGTACATGTGCATTTAAACATTACAAGAAATTCCATTTTTTTTTCTGATAAAGAGTACAAGATAGGCCTGAACATGGCAAAATACGGAATATATAATTATATGGACATCTTTTAAAATATACATATCTGCACATTGACAAAACTTTATTGCTTCAATATCACACTCTTAATGTAACAGTTACATTGCGTTTGGTTAATACTGATTGAAATCACATATACACTGTACATGTACTTACTTAAATTGTGCATTTTATAGGTGTATTATATAGGTGTAGATACGTAATGATATATACATGTATATCTATTTGGTCTTATAATTATGAATCAAAAGTGACATTGGTTGAAATATTTCTAAAATTTGTTTTAAATATATGTACATAAAGCAGAAGGACAATCAATGTATAATGTATGTATATTCCTTTTTTCATATCAAATCTTGGTAGTTCATTTTTCCCAATATTTCATGATCAGATTAAAGAATGCCTGTATGAAGTATGTCAAATATTCTGGTATGATGCCCTCGAAGCCATGTAATATATGTATAATGTACCATTTTGTTGAACACAACAGAAGTGTAATGAAATCTTCCGTTTCTATAAATTCAAGGCAAAGGGTCCTTTTCTTACCGATTTCCGGATAATACAAACGTCAATAGAAGACTATAGTACTCGAAGATTGCTGACAAGTCATCTTCAATGAAAAGGTAAAATGGCAATTTATTTCTTAAGTGTACTGTTAAGGCAGATCTGTTTAGCGTTTCTCAGAGAACATGAACGTCTTTGGGAGACTAAAGTTGTTCATTGTCGCCAGCATGCGACTAGCAGCTTGGCGCTCGATTTCTTTTTCTTCTGCCGCCTGTCTCCTATTTACCAAAAAAAAAAATATTGAAATTTATCATACCATATTCAGGAAATTCGTGAATTAAATAATTTTTGGAACTTTTTTTTTTAATAAAAAAGCCAGTGTTCTTATTGGGCGCTCCTTAATACTGGATATTATTTAACACTGAAAACAAACGCTGAACATTTAAAAGTATTTTCTGACGTACAATGATTACTATAAAAGCAAAACTCCGCCATTTAATTCTTTCTGCTCGTACAAAATAGTTTGAAAACATACCATGCAATTTTTTATGTGCTTATTATGTTTTTAAATAATAAATCTTCCTTCTACACTGGAAATATTAACAACTCACCGCCATTTTGTTCGACGGTTCTGAAACCACGTCTTCACCTGGGAATCCGAGATTTTAAGAGTTTTGGCGAGACTTGTCCTTTCGGAAGATGCCAAGTATTTTTGTCTATCAAAACGCTTTTCTAACTCTTTAATGGTCATCCGAGAAAATGATGTCCTTGGTTTCTTTCTCTTAGGTGGAGTCCTGTTTTGATAAGGGTGACCAACTCTTCTTGTTACTAGAACACGTTAAAATTTTGACTCATATTACTTCAAATGTTATTTCAGAAAATCATGTGCTCGTTATATATAAAAAGGACAGCAAAATATTATTTGTCCAAAAAAATGTGAAGTTATTTTAAAAACTCGTAATATCATTGAAAGCAATTTTAACATTCATACAAGAGTTAATGTATAATGCAGGTATCTGCATCTATTTTCAGCTATGTATTTAAAAGAAAAGATGTGAAAAAAATTATTTTTAGTTTAAATATTTTTATATAGGTTGCCTTACTGTTGTATTGAGATTTCTCGTTTCCAGAATCTTTACACGGAAAAACTAATTCTTGACAGTAGGGATAACATGTGCTGATGTTGCTTCTCTGCAGCGTAAACAGCTGATTGTAATATCCGGTCAACGAAGAAAGTCCAACAGTCACTGATTCTTTGATGTTCTCCTCTGTTTTTACAGTTTTACTTCCTTGTTGCAGAATGTTTTCTATTCCAAACCTCAATTGTTTAGCGGGTGCATTGTCCCCATTTATAACCTTATACTCCACATCCCTCTTGTCTGCGACATCCTGTTTGTCAGTACTGGAAACTTCCTGGTTGTCAATTTCAGACACTTCCTCTTCCAAAAGGTCTTGGACTTTGACTTCGGTCTTCATTGTGGTGGGTTCTCTGTGATTTTTATTTTTGCCAATGACAAGATCCATATTCTCTCACTATCCTGTGGTGTTTTGAGGGCAAAGTTTTCCGAGATTGCCAAATTGGTAGACACAATCAAATAACCCTATAAACTTCTTAGCGGACGAATAACGGACTCCGACAATTTCTATCATAATTGTCCAATAATAACTTCATTCAATGGCCCTTAAACGCGATCGAGGAGTGTGCCCAATTCAGATAGTCTGGGACAGGCCCCGCCTATACAAGATTACTCTCAATCGAAGCCGACTAATTGGACATCTGTTTGACTTGCAGCTTTAATGATCAATAAACCCTTGGACATTCAATCACGTTATCGTAAGCACTTGTAAATTTGCCATGAGTGCCGACTATTAAAACCCTTTAAATTATATTGAAAAGATACAGATCCTAGTTGTTTTCATCTGGGTTTTCTCCGCGGAAGTTGCAAATAGCCCCTGCATCAATCCATCCGATCCGTTATCGCCGAAAACTAAGGTCGCGCTCGGAACACCTCAGGCGCTGTCGGCCATAAACATCTCTTCAGATAATTCTTAATTGAAAATGAACAAAATCAATGTCGTTTATTTTTCTAGAAGTTAATTATGGTCTTCAAATGTGAATGCGAGCTACGCGTGTTCGTTTACATAAAATGAAATGACGGTTAATAACGTTTGCGTTGAATATAAATCTCGTCATTTCCGATTTTTATGGTTCAATTATAGATTATGGTTTCTGGCGTTTTAACAAAGTGTTTTCATTTCCAATTGTGTTTTCTCGTATTTTACTTGAAAGTTATTCATTTTTAATGATCAATTTCAAGAAATTACCAAGGAACGGTTTTTTTTTTCCATCAAATTCTCCCGCCGTATCTTGCATCTTCATGTAATCCTTTCTTCAAGTTAATAGTGAATATAATTATTTATTTATTTATTCATTTATTTTACTTTTTCATTTTGTTTGTCTTTTGTCCCTTACTCGGTTTCGTCGCTTGAGTTTGCCAAACCAAAGGATAAGATTTCCTACTACTTCCGTAAAAGACGTACGTATTCTTCTTCATATAACTAATAAGATTTGCAATGGTAGGAAAAATAATTATTTAAAAATAAATCCTGAAGCTTTTTTTTTTCAAGCTTACATTCAGCAACAGCTCGCACTTTATTTTTTATTGTCCTTCAGCATTTTGTTGTGTTTTATGGACTGTTTGTATTAAACGTATTAAACGTTTCCATGAATCTAAATTTACTCATAATTTGAACGTTTGATGGGCTATCTGTCTGAAACGTGCAAAAATAAGCAAATGTTCACTGTAAATTAAACATATAACTATTTTTTCTATTAAGTTAACATATTCAAGAAATATTGGAAGCTTTGAAAAATTGTCCACATTTTTGTAAAGATATTTGTGATTTGTTTATTGCAATTTATGAAAGAGCATTAGTATTTCTGATGCACATGTGATATTTTTACATTAATGCATTTGTTTCTTTAATTTTATATATTTTTGGAATAATCATGGATTTTCTTAAATGCTTAAATCCAGATGAAAAACATAATCTATAAAATCATTTACTGGTGAAAGAAAAGGGTTCATTACATAGTAATGCCTAAATGCATAATAGCACACGAATCTGAGTTTGTCAACATAAATGCACATTCTCAGATATTAAGGGTGCAACGATAAACCGTTTGACGGTATATCGCGGTATATTTTTCCACGGTTCAATTCACGATACGCTAAACTGATATCGCGGTTCGGTTCAATCGGTCCAGAATTATCCGAATCGTCCGTTTTGTTTCCTTTTTTGCAATTTCAAAATGGCTTCCGCGCAAAACGTGAGGTCGCCGATAACGCATTAACGGAAGATAAACTCATCTCCAGCATCTTACAGACCTCACATTTAACATTAATTATTATTAAAAATATGAACATTTTATATAACCCTGACAAGTTTTAAAAAATATGACAAACTTGAAAGACTTTTTAACCTTGTCATGTATCGTGATACGTATCGTATCGTGAACTGAATACCGTGATACGTATCGTATCGTGAGGTTCGTGTATCGTTGCACCCCTATCAGATATAAAATAATTAAAAATCTTATTATCAACATATAATCAGAAGAATTATCGTTATTATCAGAAAAAAGTACCTATCCCTATCTTGGTTTTGATATCTTTGCCATGTCTGGCTTATAATTCACATTAAAGATTGGCATTATTTTACTGGTCTTATTTCGGCTTTATAGTTGGTAAGACAAACTCTACAAAAGCGAAGTCATGCATTCTAATATTCGGCACTGAATGAAATTTTTTTTAAATGTTTTAATTAAAATATGAATATAATAACATCAATGAAAATAATTGATGTAAATGTTTTGAATTAAAAATAATAACAACATTAATCTTGTGCAAATTATCAAATTTAGAAGGAAAAAAAAATAAAATAAAATAATTTGTAAATTTCATTTTCATTATTTCAACAATATTTAAATAAACAAAGTGAATGCATATTCTTGTACCTCGAGATACCTTCAAAGAATGTAAAACGTTAAAAAAATTGCTTATGTAATATTCTTTTCTATGCTTTTTCTCCTGGAAATGTCCCCGCAAACAATTCATTTGACGAGCAATCTAACATCACAGTTAATTTTCGTCACTTTCATAGTTTGTTGAGTAACTTCTACGATACTCAATATTAATTAATGAATTACGAAGACATTTCAGTAATGAATCGATTAGGCAGCGAAGAACTGACGAATTGACGGGGGATCGCTTTGGAAACACTTGGTATAAATCTAGCCTTGTGTTTAAGTGTTGCAATTTATCAGTATTTCGTGTATCGAAATAAATTTAATGGGAGAAAGAAAGAAGATCTTTATTAACCCTCTACGGGGTATTACCAAATTATTTTTCCTAGGCTTATTCCCAGCTCGGAAAATGGCCTGCCGTCATCTCTAATTCGGACATTAAATTCGTCATGACGAAAATTGTCATTCCCCAAAATTGAATTTAGTATCTTCATAAAAGGGTCTTCACTCACCTGGTGAAAGAGATGAAGAATTGTAAGTTCTTTGTCTTAGTCATTATTGCAAAAGCCCAGGCGTATGTCTTTATTTGTTTTAACGGCTGCTGAGCCAAATTGTCACCTTGGGCCTTGGTGGAGAAAATGGCTAAGTGTTAAAAGGGAAAAGAAGTATAATTGATTCTTAACTCTCGCGTTCTCTTGTGTTTTGTTAGCGCAGAATAATGGGCGTCTTATTGGGTTAAATATTTAACGATTCTGATTATGATATCGCTAGCTCTTCTATTAATTTGATCAAGGAAAATGTTAAGAGAGTTCCGAGTAATTTAACGCCTTGGTCACGTGACCTCGTGTCCTGAATCTTCTGTCAGAGACATAGGCTTAATGGAAGTTTATAGATAGGGGACTGTCGGTATTTGGATATTATATGTACGTTATATTAACTGAAATAGTAGACTTTATTTAATTTAATCCGCGGAATAAGCAATTTATGATCAATAGAGTTCGTTACACAATCCTATAATTATCAATTTCTAAACATTATGTAGATCATCTGTATCCACTGTGTTTAAATTTTCCTGCAATTTTTGTATATTTTTGCAATACATGTATATGTTTATGCTTATTCGCCAATCAGGGCAAACAATCAAACAAAGGCCCTCAAGAAGTGTGTGTAACTTTGATAATAAATTATAAAATGATCAATTTCAATTTTCAATGTATTGAAACCCACGCGATTTAAAAGGTATTGATTCGCATTATCTATCCCAAAATTTAGAACAATTTGTCTCAACTAAAATTCAAAAGAGAACAGAACAAGATTTTATCTTGACATAATATTCTTTAAAAATATACCAAGATTTAATATATCACATTTTGGAGTGAACGCAGGCAATATGTGCGTCTTTTCTACAATAGTCAAAGGGTGTAATGGCACATCACTCAACAAAAATGATGTATATATTTAGATAGTCTCAGGCAATTTGTTTCCATGTTCATAAACTAGTTATTTATATTACAAATACCGCTGCTAGAAAGTTTATCAAATATTCATGTAGCGATAAATATGCTGCAAAATTTCAAATCAAACGGCCAACTTGCGGCAGATGATAGCAAAGGAAATCGGAAGCGGACGGACTGCTAAGTTCCACATTAATATTGATGGTTGTCATCAAAGAGCCATCAAACTCCGGAAAAGTTTACAAATAATACCAGCGAGATGTCCCGGCTGGTCATGTATGCTTCACTCTCACTAACCGCTCGGAAATGATCAGTCATTAAACACAAACTAAGAAGTAACGAGAAAATTTCCCGTCTTATCATTATTTCAATCAAGACATCATGTCAGCCAATTTGATCTATCCAAGTGTCAATATTTATAATTGAAATCATGGATATAAATTTGGTTTGATTCAACGCGCTGAACGAAGACAGCTGCCCATGGTTTTTTCTTGATCGGTGTTGTCGTTAAAGCCTGAGCGATAGCTCACAATCTCCTCTTCTTCATTGTTTTAGTCGCTTTAAACGAAAAACTGTTTAATAATTTAAGTTCATTGTCTCTTAAGCCTGGTCGATTGACGTTCTTTAAGCGCCTTTGGCACATTTCGTGGAATCAACCTTTATCTTTGTCTATGTGTATTGGAGGATTCTTCATTATGTTTAACGTATGAGCAATCAATTAAACTTCCCTTACCTTTTTTAGAAAATACGTGAAGTAAGATTAAGAAAATATTTGTCTATATATATATATATATATATATATATATATATATATATATATATATATATATATATATATATATATATATATATATATATATATATATATATATATAAATTTTTGGATTAAAATTTTATATGTATAATGTATTGATTAAAATTCATTTTCTTAAAAATTCAACAATTTGTAGTCATGAATGTTTATTTGTGGAAGAGACTTTGACAACTTTATTAGTAATGAATTGTCAAGTACACAATTTTTTTTTTGAATTTACGAATTCTATATTAGTATGGACAAAATAGGTTTTTCAAACACATCGTATCAAACAAATTCAAATGATACGTTTTCGCGTGTATACGTGTACGCAATTTCTCTGACCTTTGAACTACAGACGTCACACTGTCAGCAAAAATGATATCAATCTTCATCTCAGCAAATCACTAATAAGCAGTACATTTCATTGTATATAAAGCGTGCAAATTTTAAGAGCCTTGAATACATACATGTAAACATGTAAAATTCGAAGAAAGAATTTTATTCCCATTTCCTGATTTCCACCTACACCTTTTTTAAAAACATAATCTCGTGACAAAAATGGGGTTCCTGGATCTTAATCAAATCAAGCTGATTTGTTGAGAAACGATTTTGTTTCCATGAGAGTGTAGTGATCTTTATATCAATGATTATTATATTTACATCATATTTACATTTGCTGTGTTTTTCTACTCAACAATTGATTTGAATGTCATCCTGGATACCAAGTTTATCTTTTAAAAAGATAGGTGAGCCATAGCGCTAAAGCCATCATAAAACACAGAAGTAGATATCTGAACAACTGGTTTAATTTGCTGAATCGATTTATTATTCATAGGAAGGCCAGTGGTGCACCTGGATGATGTTGGGGGAAGGGGGTCTCTATTCAGACTGGTGAA